ACACACACACACACACACACACACACACACACACACACACACACACACACACACACACACACACACACACACACACACACACACACACACACCCTTCTTCTGTCTCCTCCTGTTGCCTCCAACTGGGATGCCTCTATACATTTCCTCTTTCGTCACACGTTCACACAATTAACTTCCTGTCAGCCTCTCGTAGAGATACAATTGATATCCTTGATGACTAGCATCAATTTCTTTACAATTAGCCTCTTGGCCTTTCACCCACTTAGTCACTTCCGTCTAGCCTGTAACCACACGTAACCCTAAGACCCCCTTTGTTAGGCCCATTTCCCTGCTAATATACAGCGCTCGTTTAGTTTTTCTCTCAGTTGCTCCTGAGGAAGCCCACAGGGCGAAACGTTGAGCTATTAAACAAATTTAAACATTTTATATTGTTATTGTATTTTTGTCTAAAATTAAAACAAGACTCTCCCTCCTACCCTGCTTACCAAAAAATGATGATGATGATGATGATGATGATGATGATGATGATGATGATGATGATGATACAAAAAAATCAATCGATGCTAGTCTAGCAAGAGTACCGAATGATAATGATGATGATGATAATAATATTGATAGTGATAATAATGCAATTGATGATAATAAAGATAACAATGTTGGCAATTTCTATATCGCCGACTCCCGTACTATTATACCGTTCTAGGACCTTAATTATACATTTTGTACCTTCATCTCAACACATCAATCTAAAACACAAGAGCAGGAACGTGTATACACATATGTGTCAGATCAACTTTAACATATAAACAGACATTGGTACGACGATAACAGCACAATTAATGACGACATGCACAGCTTATTAATTAAGAACAAAAACGAACTACGAAGCGTAAATCCACACTCTATAGCATGCTCTATGCGCTTTACATCTACGATGATTCTGTCACATTCAATTATGTAATATACATATTGCAAACGCCCTAATCATGCTGAGCGTTTAAAAAAATAAACATTTTCTAATGCCTGAGAAGTATTCCGCTTTTTAGAAAGCTTACAGCTCAATATTGTGGCGTCGGTAGCCTAGTGGTTAGGCTCTCGGACTCGCAACCGTAAGGTCGTGGGTTCGAATCCCGTCAAGGGCCCAACGTTGTGTCCTTGGGAAAGGCACTTTACACGAATTTTCCTCACTTAACCCAGGTGAGAATGGGTACCCGGCTATAGACAGCGAAAGATCTTGTCAGTTTGGTAGTGCTTGAGCGCTTAATCGGCTGCTCGCACTGTATGCTTCCCGGGAAGCTGAGAATGTTTCGGAGTGTACTATGGTCTGCTGGGGTAATAATATAGTGTAAAGCGCATAGAGCCTGCTGTTGAGCGGGGATATGCGCTATACAAATGCTATCTATTATTATTATTATTATTATTATATTGGACAAGGTTGCTGCTCTTTAAAGATAGACGTTCTGTGTAATTTCAATTAATCTTGACCACAATTTGTTTGTAATTTTTGTTCCTTTTTACATGATTTTTCTTTTTTTCAAGGTGACTGGAAACTGGAAATAAATGTGTGCACTGAATAAAGAATAAGACTTCGGGTCATAGTCTATATTTGTGTGTGTGTATGTGTGTGTGTATGTGTGTGCGTGTGTGTGTGTGCATGTGTGTGTGTGTGTGTGTGTGTGTGTGTGTGTGTGCGCGCGCGCGTGCTTGTGGTAATTGTGTGCCTAAGAGAGAAATTAAGAGAGAGAGAGAGAGAGAGAGAGAGAGAGAGAGAGAGGGAGAGAGAGAGCGAGAGAGAGATAGAGAGAGAGAGAGATAGAGATAGAGAGAGAGAGAGAGAGAGAGAGAGAGAGAGAGAGAGAGAGAGAGAGAGAGTTAAAGAGAAAGAGACGAGACAGAGACATAGACAGAGAGACAGAGAGACAGAGACAGACTGAGGTTTGGGTGTGTGTGTGCTGTAATTGAGAGTTAAGAAACAATTGCATTTTTAAGTCATATTTTTTTAAAAAGAAAATAAAACTCACATTTTCTTAAGTAGTTATCATTATTGTGTTTATTGTTGTTGTAATTATAATATTAGTTTGCTTAGGTTTCCACCGGCACAGCGCTATTAATTTGGAAATTTAAAAAAAGATATAATCGACAAACACAAAACGTAAGCATAAAAAAAAAGTTTGTAGATTAGTTATTTTACATTAGTAGGAAACATTGTTGGGGGGTCCGCCCTTTTAGCACTTGATTTTCAGTTGATTTCTGCTACCTATCACACACTAACAAATAATGTAAGTGCTTTTACATCCCCATCGACACAGTTTAGATCATTTCCTTCTTCTTCTCGATCGCATCAAAAAATTGGGGCCCGGCACTGCACCTGCCTGGTGGGTCCTCACAGAGCGAGCACCATATCTAAAGTTACCTTCTTCAAGTGTCATATATTGCAGTATTCCGTGGTATTGTGGATCTCTAGAGTGCGCCTTGCGGCCCAATACCTCCGATTTCAGCACTCCAGCTCCAGGTCCAAGGATCTACCCTGGGAGCACAGGGAGGAATTGTTACCGGATCCCACCCGTAGCCAGGACTAAATGCGGTCCTTTTCCGCATGATGCTCCCGTCAGAGGACTCTTAGGGTATTTAATGACGT